AATGTGAATGACTGAACTCTGGCTGTGTCGGGACGTGTGCAGTGGTGAGTAAATGGTTCCCAGGCAGTCATCTTGCTGCAGATTGCATCTCTGGGTGTCTCTGGGTGTGTGCAGTTTCACTGAAAGCAGAAGGAAGCTGGTGAGATAATTTAGTTATGAGGTAAAAAAGCAGAAGAGCTGCAGGCGTTTACTGTCAGCCGTCAGCTGTTTTTACTGTCAGATGAATGGGCAGGGGAGAAAAAAGGTCATTGATAAAGACACTCCAGCGTTTGCCAATCCCAGAGCTGGAATCAACCAGTACACTCACTCATAGCTGGACTGGTTTCAGTTTCACTTTCTGCAGACACAGAAAATGTTTGTAGTTTTTACCAAACAACACATGACACAATTTAGTCACCCTGTCGACTAAGATAAAGAAAACAGATAAACCCAGATTTCCTCCTCTGTGTTTCTATCCTCATGATTGAAACCACCTGCAGGGTTCAGAGAGGGGAACATTGTTATTACAGTAGTTGGAGGACCGCACCCATGTTTCTTATATTTCAACACAACGATAGATGTTTTTTCAACTTCTAATTTAAAGGGTTGTTGCTGAAGTATTCTTCAAAGTAAATGCTTGTTAACATAGTTTATGTGCTACACTGGGGCAGCTGTGGCTCAGTTGGTCGTGTGTAATTTGGGGATTGGTTTGTCATCATACTAGACCTTCAAACTTGGATGGGGTAGTAAAAATCAAAAGATATTGTTACCACGGCAACAAAAATAGATACTGGGTCATTTCTTTTTTTAATTACCAAAAATGGCAAGCAAACACGTGCACCCTGTCTGAATTACACAAATACTGACATGTTGTTTCTCTATCTGCATCTGTTTGGGATATGATGGGTCAAAGTTTTGATCTGGGCGGCTGTGGCTCAGTTGGTAGAGCTGATTGTCTCTCAACCAAAAGGTTGAGGGTTCAATCCCCAGCTCCTGCAGCAACATGTCTGATGTGTCCTTGGGCAAGACACTTAATCTCAAGCTGCTCCTGCTGCTTCATCAGTGGAGTATGAATGTGTCTGAATAGGATTAGTTTCTACTAATGGACACTATAAATGTGTAGATGTGACCTGCGGTGTAAAAGCACTTTGAGTAGTAAGAAAACATTTTCATTTAAACCAATCTGGCAGCTTAACTTTGACCCTACTGGTGGTGCGAATGCAAACAGAATAAAAATCATTTTATTTAGTTCTTGGAAAAGGTCCAAAGGAAGCCCCCCCATAAGAACTGTATGGACCTAAAACTACCAGGTAGCTGCTGCCTGAATTTCACAGCTGTTCCCTAAAATTCACAAATGCTTTAAATGTACTAATATTTTAAGGCTTGAAGCTACATTTTTCCATATTAGTCCAACGAAGCAAAAATAAAGGTTATTTTAGAATGAAAACAAATGATTGTAAACATAAGTTGCTCTCTGATCAACCATTTCACTTCCCCTTATCCTGTGACCCTTTAAAGGCGCCCGACCCTTAGGTTGATAACCACCATGAGGAAGTGGCCAACTGTAAACGGTCAAAAGTAGAGCTGCTAGGGGGGGCTTGGTGGTTGGTTTGCTCCCCCCATGTGCAGAACCTGTGGTCCTATAGGAGTGGGTTGCTTAGGTTTCGGGTCTGACCTGTGGCTCCTTTCCCTCATGTCGTTCCCCGTTCTCTCTCTATCCTCTGTCCTTAGGATAGGATAGTTACTCACTACTGATATATTCAGTCATACAAGAACATCTCTTCTTTTAATTCTATTTTCTTATATTTACTCTTTTAAATGGAGCCTCCCAGATGTGTGTGTGTGTGTTTGTAGTTCAGATGTAAAAGGACTTTTTCCCCTCCCTCTGTCATGTTTCAGTTGAGAAATGATTGAACTCTGAGCAGCTCGTAAGTCATTTATAAACCAGCCTTATGTAACCACGGGGCTTTTTAACTCCACTGTCATCTGATGTGTGAGAACTTCACAACATCACACACAGGAAGAGGACGATGATGACCACTATGAGAAGTTACTGAGTTACACAAACAGAGAGAGAGAGAGAGAGGGAACACAGGGTGACACTTTGAGAAGGTTACCAAACAGTCTGAAGTGAGAGCTCTGAGGATTTCCTTCCTTACAAACATGGAGATTTTCCATCTTGTGACACCAGAGTGAGATTGTGCAAACGGTACATTCAGAGTCAGAGCTGATGGGAACAGCTTCACCTCCAGTCGCTTTGTCATTGACCTTTGGAAAACCAGCTAATTCAAACTAAAAGAACACATACTTACACCTTAGACATTTGTATTCCAGTAAAGATAACACCCATTATCTATAACGCTTTCCCCCCCTCATTCCCAGCGCTCACTGGGCGAGAGGCGGGGTACACATTGGACTGGGATTTCTCCCTCCATGTCTTGTTCTAAATCCACTCTGATCCTGTGTTTGATCACGTCTATAAACCCCTCTATTTCAGCCCTGCTCAGAACAGGCTGTTTCTGTGTCTGTACCTTTAAATATGTAAATGAGCTGTGTCTGACCACGCCCCCTCTCTTGAAGAGCTTGGGTGTACTCGGTGCTTTCTCGCTCCATGTCATATTGTTTACAGTGAGAAGGCAGACTCAGTGGGCAGAACAAACACCTAGCTGTGGGAGTGTCACCCACCTGGGGGAGGGGCTACTGCCCTTTGTGATGTCATTAAGGGAAAATCTCCAAACGGCCTGTTTGAACACACATTTTCTGAAAAGTGGAGCAGGCAGAAGATGGAGAGGATGGACTTTTCTCATCATTGGGGGGTTTGTAGATGGACTAAAGACACATGTTAGAGTTAGAGAAACATGGTGAAGTGGATTTTGCAGAATATGTGACCTTTAAAGTGTGATTTTCTCGTCTGGGCAGTGATGAGGCGATAAAGCGTCTTATCCTGAGAAGACAAACTTTCAGTGACCACACAGCAGCTTCTGTTTCAACAGATTTATTCAGTTAAAGAGTGAAAACAGATTAAATGTTAAAACAAGTAAAAACAAGCACCTTTCACCTCTTTCTATCGTTTTCAAATCTCGGACAGTTTACAGATCACACCCTGCGAGTGGACAGGACGCAGAAAACTGTCATCACATGTCTCTTCCTGGATCATAAAGGCACAGAGAACTTTGTTTCTCGTTAGTCGAGGACAGATAGTTTGAGGGTTTACACACAGAAAATGAGTGACGCAAAAACAATGTCAAGCAGTGAAGCAGGATCACAATAATTCACCGAACACCGTCTGCTCTTAGCTGGTACATGTTGAGGCACAATCTGTTCAAAAGCCCTCTAAAGAATCACAAATACATCAATAAAACTGTTGACTTAACATTTGAAATGCAGTGAAACAGGCACGCTAACTGTATGTGATACAAGTTCATCAGGTTATATATCAAAGTCGAGTCGAAAGCACAAATTTAGCTCCATTATCATATCGACTGATTCACACCGCTCTGATTTAAGAATCGGTTAGATTGATCTGATAATCTACACCCTGAACAGCTCTAAGTTCTTCTTCTGCTAAAAATCAATAATTAGACAGACATGTAAAAAAAAAAAAAAGATTACAAGATGCCACTGAAAGAAACGTTGCCACTGATTTTTTTGCAGGTTTGCTTGATGGTGTTATTTGAAAGACAACAAGACGGCAGGAACATCGATTTGAATGAAAGACAAAGCAAAGCATTCTGGGAATTCCTGCACAAATTGACAGACGCAGCGAAGCAGTGAAAATGTGATTAAATCAAAAAAACTGTTGTACACAAAGTGACACATGTACAGATCGACTGACATCCAATCCATGATGGTTTACATCATTTATACATTTCAAGATTTTAACGGCATTTGCTGTTTCCACACACACACACGGACCACGATGAGCGCGCGTGTGTGTGTGTGATTGTGACGCGTTGTGTTGCTGTATTTTCAAAAAGAATCCTGAAGACTCCTGAAAGTTTCCTGAAGTGTCATCGCCTCTGGCCACATTTTTTAGCCCTGACTTTACTTCAACTTTTTCCTGCCCCTCCCCCTATAGTTAAATTTCCACGTGTGCACGTTGTGGCGAGCTGATGTGTGAACGCAGCGGGTAATATTCAGGAAATTCACCGTGAGCAGGAGGGGGGGTTAAGATGTTTACATCAAACAACCAGTGTGATCAATAACGTAATGAAGCTGCGTCATACTTTTTCTGCTCACAGGTTTGTGTTTTTTTCATCCCAGTGTCCTTTTTTTAATCACTTCCTGCCTCCTGAGGCCCCTCCCCCACCCTCCAGTACATCAGGAATAACAACTGAGGGGAAGGCCGTACTGAAAATGTCAGTTGTGCATGTGTGAAAACGACTTGTGTGTGCGCATTTTGGTAACTGTGACTGCAGCCAGATCAATCTGTTCAAACTTTTGTGGCTTCTCAGAAGTCCAGCTGCGTCTTTCTTTCTCTCCGTCAAGTCATGGGTGAGAGAGGCGGCGAGAGGTCGGGGGGGCGAGTTGAGAAGATGTCCCACATCAGAGCTGCAACAGAAAGAGAGAGAGAGACACATAAACAAACAGAAGGTGTTTAAAATCACTTTGAGATCTTTATTTACACCTGTTGTTAACACACGATCTAAACAAACACACAGATAAAAATAAACTGTGTTTGTTCACAGGATGAGGAGACCTCCTGGAGATGTTGTCTGCTACCAGCCTGTCAGCGTCGGACCAATTCCACAAACGCAAGTAAATCTTGAGAGTAGAAGTTCATATATTCTATCTGTAAAGGGGCTTTAATTCACACACCGTAACACCACCAAACTCTGAAACAAATCAGAACAGCAGCAGGCGTCGAGTCAACCTGAGTCAATCAAATTCTCTCAGCAGGTTAAAGGGTCACTCAGCTTTGTCTCAGGCCGCCTGTTAAACCTCCTCTCAGGAACTTTGTGGTGATTTTGGCGACACCTGTGGACAAAGCGGTGCCTCTCATTTCTTTGTGTGGAGGTGTTTTGTTTACATCTCGTCCTGCTTTTATTAACAGTCAAACACGTCCCTCATCCAGAAAGTCTGTGTCTGCAGCGTGCCGTTAATCACTTCATCTGACAACCTGCCCGCGGCCGTGGTTTGAAGGCGTTTAAATCACTTTATTTAAAAATAACACATCTTTGTGCTGATGCTCTTGTTTGCTTTTCGGGCGAGATGGAGGCTTTTAATATGAATGTGAGTTGTTTCCTAACCAGCTGTAAACACCTCACAGGAGCAGTTCAGGGGTTCAGCTGAGACTCTTATCGCCCTTAATAAATCATTTCAGTCTGATACACACAAACTGTCCATAGTTAATAACTATCAGTCAGTGATAGAAATAAAAAAGCATTTTGAAGAAGAATGAATGTGTTCCTTTTACCTGCAGTATCACAGAGTCCCTGAATGCCTCCTAACAGAGGGTCTCTGTCTGTGAGCAGGTGACTCCGCCCTCCTGACCCCATCAGCAGGGCCAGATCTGATTGGTCCGTTTCCTCCAGAGAGTCCTGAGGATGGAGATTTTAAAAACATGCTCACATGGATGTTTTCAACTCTTTGGTTGATACTGTGGAAACGTCCAGTAACGCATAGCTTTGATATAAAGGTCAAAAACTGTCATTATGGCGTCAGACTACATTTATTCTATGATGTAAAAACTCTTGTACATGTTCTGGAAATACTGGATCAATTATAACTTCAGTTTTAAGCTCTAGATGCAGAAGAACAGATCTGTGTTTGGTTTTTATGTAATGGTTTGTAAAAGCAGAAAAATGAGCTGGACTGACAACATTTCTTTCCCCTCTTCCTCTTCCTCTTCCTTCACTCACCAGCAGCCTGTGGCTGAGCAGGAGTTCCTCTTCTATAGAAGAGGGAACTTCTTCTTTCTGTCTTTTGCCCTGAATCATCAGCTCAGACGGCATCTCCTCGTCCGGGTCGTGAAATCTGAAACAGAGACAATCAGATATTTAAAAAAAAGAAATATACATTTGTAGTCGTGTTTTATGTGTAGAGTGTCTGGACTTTGTAAACTGTTTAATCTGCTTTTACAATAAACCTTACGGACGCAGGTAAGTAAAAACACTCTGCACCAAGATCATCTTCTGTGATTTACTAACATGAGCTTTCCTGTAGCGCCCCCCTCAGGACGAACTTTACATTTCAACAACCTTTATTTATAGAGAACTTTTCAAAATCAAGTCACAAAGTGATTTACAAGGAAAACAATAATAAAACAAACGTAACGTCAGGCAGGTCATAGAATAACAAGCAAGACGTGTTGATGACCACAACATCTTCATGTTAATTATCCAACAGATACACACTACTAATCTATTATTTTATATCACTGTCAAAGAATTTAAAGAAGATGGGAAGCCAGGGAAATACTTAACTTTCAGACTTTCAGCATTTCAGACACACAAGTATAAAAATATGGTATTTTATTTATTTTTAAATTAAAAAAACATGATATAGACAGATCTTGGTTATGTGCAAACACACATACAATGTTAGATGTAAATATCTGCAGGAGATGATGATTTTTTTTTATTTTTCTATTTATTTATTTTTTATTTATCTATTTATTTTTTCTTCATTTAATCCTTTTCTACTTCTTTTTTTCTATTTATTTCTTGAACAGTAAGCTTAACCTGACTATATGCTTGTAAAAAGGAGGCACAAAGCTCGTGCTGGATGCTGCCTCTGTTATATTTTGAATTTGCATAATGTGTATATATTTCTATGATTGTTTCCTTTTCACCACTGGGTGTTAAAAATATTTTTTTTTAAAAATGGTATTTTATATGCAAAAAGCAGTTTTTATAAAGATGGTTTGTTGTCTCATTAAGACACATTAATGATGATTAAAAAGTTGTATTTTCACGAGTTGTTTTGAAAAAGAACAAATATGTTCAGGTTTTGCAGTTTGAGTTGTTGAGTTCATTCTGTTGTCAGAGCCTCTTTTGTCGACATCAAGAGAAATCTGATCGTCAGGTTTTATCAGAGTGAATTCAGAGATGTGAAACGTAATAAATATGTCCAATAATCAAAAGCTTGTTCACAGATTAATACGACGTGTTTCCACCTCAAAGACTGAGGGAGGGTGATTCAAACTGCTGCAGGATGTTCATGTAAGATATATGAGCACATACCTCCATATCTTTATAATATTACTTTCCATCACATTGTTTTCTAAGGTCACAGTGATGTCATCGTGGCCTGAATTTGCTCCTGACCATCTTTAACCTGTGAGGTTACAAAGTGAACGAGCCCGTCGTACCGTTTCCTCCCCGTTGACACCTCAGGCGTTGTCACAGCTCGTGGCTCAGACGATGATGATGACGACGTCGGAGGATTCTCAGCTTCGTCGGACAAACTGCTGCTGAGGAAGGTCAGCTGGAAGTCGTCGTCCATTGAGATGTAAGGAGCCAACATGTCCAGGTCCATCTCCTTCACAGACCAGAGAAGAGACAGACAGGAGGAGGGGTCAGACTCAACAGCTATAAATCTGCTTTGATCATGTATTATTTTGAATTATCTTCTTAATTTCACATCTGTATTTATCCTAATTTGACTGTTTTTTTACTTTCTTATACTGTCCTGAAATGATTTGAAGAACTTCATTCAAAGTATTCGTCTCCTACCTCCTGAATTTCTTCTCTTTTCTGACCGTCTTCTGAACAAACAGCGAAAAACTTCTCCACCTGGCTGGTGTCCATCACCTCGTCCTCCAGGGAGCTCTGAGGGAGGTCGACAGAATTCAAGTTCAATCAAAGTTCAATCAAAACAAAGCGAGAGAGGACAGGTTCATGTGAAGGACAAACATGTGTTTAAGTGTTTTTAAAGATTTAAGACGAGCGTTTACCGGCTCAGGTTGAGGTGAGGGTGCTGCTGAGGACGATGAGGAGGAGGATGAGGATGATGAAGGGGGAGTGAGGGGGTTGAAGATGGACGACAGGAGCTGTCTCAGCTGAGGGGTGCACAGATCCTCAGGGTGCTCCAGCACAGAGTCCGGACTGGACGGAGTGCAGAACGCGAGCTCAACAAAATCTGACGGACACAAAAAACACAAAGAAATCAGAAACTTCAGCTGAAGACATAAAAATAAATCCAGGAAATAGAATTTAATTATAACCTTGTAAATACGTCACAAGATGAACTTCCTGTATTTAAAGGCTTTGTATGAGCCTTACTCATACTCAGTACTTCGATCCTTGAACACCAGCATGAAAACAAAACATGGGGCTCACTGTCTGCCCTACCCGAGGTGTCCTAGAACTAATCAGACAAAACACCATTAAAGAGGGGCTCCCACTTGACGACCCCGGTGATGTCCTGGCTCTGGATGCCCATTGGTCATAATGGTTGAGTTGTGGGGCCCAATAGGGGCCATCGGCTTTTTCACTACCAGGCTAGTTCCCATAAACGGAGCCTGGCTCTGTTGAAGGTGCTAACTAAGGTTTCTGTAACTTATCAGAGGGACAGATAGACCCTGGAACAAAACGACCTCCATGCATGCAGAGATGCTGATTCAAAGAGAAAGAGTGATCGATGAATCATCAAATATTCATTTCTGACCTCGACAACTTTTTTCTGAACTTTGATCCCTGAAGCTGTAAATCTAAATGTCTGTGTGTCTCACCTCCTGTCGGCGGTACGATCACGTCTTTGGCCACAGACTCTAACTGAAGAAGTGCCTCGGGCTCCTCCTGATCTGAGCTGCCGGGGCTCAAACATGCGTCCTTGGAGCTAGAGAGACGCTCACCGTCAGAGTCACAGATGTCAGCAGTCCCGTTGACCTTTGTTTTAATTTCTGTGGAATGAGATTCAGCTTCAGACGGCGGGCGGTATCGGATCTGCTCGACGGAGAAAACAACGTCTGGCTGCTCGACGGTACTGCAAAAAGAAAAAGAATTGTTTTTTTTTTTTTAGATGTTTGATGGACAGGAAGTTTCCCCACACGTACACTTCACATGGTTTTTAAAAGTACCTGAGGATGAAGTTGAGGCAGACGATGGCCTCGGGCTTAGACGTCTTGCTGTTGTAGAGGACGGTGGCCTGAGTCTGAGCCCAGACGAAGCCGCCGCTGTTGGTCAGGAAACGATAGCAGCCGGTGCTCACCTGACCTTTGGACAGCACTTCATGTGACACACACACACACACACACACACACACACACACAAACAGAAAAGTAAGGAACATTTCACTCAAGGACCAGAGACTGAAGCAATAAAAACACAACTCTAACGTAATCACATTTATGCAAAAGCAGAACTCTTATTTACTTAAAGATAAAGTCCTTTAAAACACAATAACCTGAAGATAAAAAAACATGAAGGATTCAGTTTAATGATTGTCGACTTTGAATGTTAAAATCCTGCTTTTACATGTGCGGGATATTTTTTATAGAACACAAACACACACACACAACACTCTAACTGACATGTGTGCAGGCTCTTGTTGATGTGATGAGAGT